TTGTGTTCATCGCTCTCTGTTGCATTTTTATTTATTTTTATTTTTTGTTCTTTTGAGACAGGGTCTCCCTGTAGCCCCAGGCCTCAGTCTTACAGGGATCTGCCTGCCTTAACCTCCTAAGTGCTAGGACTAAAGGTGTGAGCCACCATGCCTGGCCTGTGTAATGATTTTTTTGTTTTAAAATCAGTAGTTACTTTGTTGAGGGTTTGCTATATTATTTAGGGCAGGAGCCTAGGTTCTAAATCTCCAAGACGTCTTTGTGCTCTATCATTACAGACCCTTGCTCCTTGGAAAGTGATAGTTGAGGCAAGTAAACATGATATCATAGCTCCTAACTTCGATTAACTGCAATGCTTACCTTGTTTACCTTGAGATGAGGACAGTCTTGAAGAGAAACTGAATGAGGACTAAGCTCTCAAACCTAGGTTTAGGGGGCTGACTCCTGGCCAGGAGGGTCTCATGGAGAGCATTTCACTGCCCACTGGTCCCCATGAAATAGATATTTTAGTTTACCTCGTGTGTCTAGTAGCTCCATTTCATTAGCATATAATTTTTTGTTTTACATCTTATAAGAAGGACATAATGGAAGTTTTATTGGGAAGAAAAGGACTTTGAATATGGAAGTTGGTAAGCGTTGACTTTTTCGTATGCTTTTAGTAATCTAGCTGAGAGAAATCTGTATTGATAGTACCCAAAAATAAATGTCTTCTGGTTTTCTAAGATAACTTTTTCACTTTTCTTTAAGTCATGGTGTTTCTCCAGCTGCCAAGACTGGTTCCTGGTTCCTCTGCTTAATGTAGCTTAATGCTGTTTTATTTCCTCAGCAATAGACTATTAGAATTTCAAAGTTTTTGTTTGTGTATTGTGTGCGTGTTCATGGGTGCCTGTGTATGTAGAGGTGATGTCCTCCTCTATCGCTTTCTACCTTATGTTTTGAGACTGAGTCTCTGGTGGAACCTGGAACTCACTGATTGGCTACACAGGCTGGCCAGTGAGCACTCCAGGAATCCTGTTTCTGCCTCCCCGGTGCTAGGGTTTCCAAATGTGTGCCACCACACCTGGCCCTTAAGTGAGTCCTGGGGATCTGAAAGTGGGTCTTTATGCTTGCTCAGCAGGTACTTGGGCACTTCACCTACTGAGCTGTTCCCCTGCCCAGCTGTTAAAAATTTTGATGTCTTGCTTGAAGGAATTGTTGCACTCATATTTATTAGGCTTTAATAAAACTACCATAATTACTAAAGCACCCATGCTTTCTATACTGTTTACTTCTACCTATTATCAGTGGGTTCCTTTGGGTTCTTTTTGAGCAGATTTTTCATACTTGTGTATATGTGTTCATCCTATATTCTAGAAAACAGTTTTTTCTTTTGATGTTGGCTTGAATTGGCAGTGTGCTTTACCTGTTATTTTTGATCTTAAGAACCTGTAGCTTGTTTTTATTCTTCTTTGATAGGTATTTTCAAAGCATTATGTATGCTGAGTTGCACTACTCACCCTACCCCAAACAAAGCTCAAGTGTGTTGGTAATGAATAGGACCTCAAACTGAAAAGGGCTATGGGATGTAGCACACAATTTAATTTGTTTTATTACTTTTTTGGTGTGTGTATATGTGTGGTTGTGTGTGTGTGTGTGTGTGTGTGTGTGTGTGTGTATGTACATGCATGGTGGTTGGAGGACAACTTTGTGGAGTCAGTTTCCTCTTTCCACCTTTATGTGGGTTCCAGGGCTCAACTTAGTTCACCAAGTTTGCATGGCAAATGCCTTTATCTGCTGAGTGCCCCCCCCCTAAAAAATTTATTTTCTTGAGACATGATCTTCTGTAGCCCCTGGAACTCACCATGACCTGGAAACTCACTATGTAGACCAGGCTGGCCTTTATCTCACAGAGATCTGCCTGCCTCTGCCTCCTGAAGAAGATGTGGCATGTCTTAGTTCTTTGCTTTGCTTATGCTCTTAGATCTGCCTGATATTTCTCTCTCTCTCTTCTGGCTCCTCCTACTCATCCTTTTGGCTTAGTTGAGACATCCTACTCTTTCGGGTGGGTTGTGTGCTTGTGGTGTGCCTGTGTGATGCGTGTATGTTTATATTGTACACTCTTCAAGTGTCTTCATTAGAATCTGCAGGAAGGGTTTGTTTTTAATTTGTGTGTGCGGACAGCTTAAGTTCACATACGCTTTCTGTTGAATGAGATGCTGTTCAGGATACTACTTGGGCATCTCAAGTGTGATGACAGGAGTTAGAGGAAGGTAATGACTTGATTTGGTGAGAAGTGGTTTTAAGAAAAAGATTTGAGAGGGGATTATAGAAAACCAATAATAAAGCAGATTTCTAAATCAAGAAAACAGTAGAGAAACGATATGACACACCTCCGTGGGTAGCTTTAACAGAACTACCTCTTTGAGAAGGAATCAGGGCAGGAGACTCAAAACAATCCCATCCACAAATACACCAACCATAGCTTTTGTGAGCACTGATGCCAGCCAGCCAATGAGAAGAAAAGGTGGCTGCAACTACTGTTCCCTTTTGATTTGAGGTTCCTATGGCAACTGAAAGAGAGCCAAGGACATTCTCTCTTACCTCTTAATAAAATTGCAGTAGGGGCGGGGGCGGGGGCAGGGGCAAGGGCAAGATTAAAGTTAAGGATAAGGTTAAGGGCAGGGTTAAGTTTAAGGTCAAGTTTAAGGTTAAGGTCAAGGGCAAGGTTTCTCTGAGATCTAGGCCAGCCTCTTCGACATAGTGATTCCAGGTCATCTAGAAGACCCTCTCTAAAGAAAAAAAGGGAATATAAAAAATAAAAATGAAAATAGGGCCAGTGAGATGGCTTAGTGGTTAAAGGCACTTGCCTTCAAGCCTCATGAGGAACCCAGGTGGAAAGAAGGAGAGAACTGACTTTGTTGTAAGCTGTCCTCTGGTCTCCATACCTGCACTATTGCATGTGAACCTATCCGTTCTGCTACATAAATTAAAAATGTAATAAAAATAAAACCAAATAAGCAAACAGAATCTTTTCTGAAATATATAAGTTTAATACCAAACCTTAAAAAGTTGTGAAGCAGGGGCTGAGGGGTGTAGCTCCAGAGCAGAGTACTCTCCTGGTATGTGTGAGACCATGGGTTCAGTTCCTGGTATAAATACACAAATAGATAAACAAATTAATACAGTTTTCAAGAGGAACTTGACCATTTTTACTGAATAAATGAAAATTACTTATAAATCAGCTTTCTAATTTGGTATACTGGCAGAATGCAGGTATGATCCTTAACTTCTATCCTGGAATCTGAGTGATTCTGTGAGTCAGAAAATTATAAAGAGTCCAAAAAGAACTTCAGAGTTGTAGGTAGGGATGTGACTGAGTGGTAGAGCATTTATGCCTAAGGTCTCAGCGGTCACCACTACTGTGTTGCCTAGGGTATGCTTTTAATAAAGTACATTGAAAATGTGCATTTCCATTGTTTCCAGAGAGCTGCTCAGATTTTTAAAATTCCATTTGCTTTCTACAATTTTCTATCCTTAATTTACATGCCTTTTCTAAATAATCTCAACTAGTAAGTAGAAAATGCTGGATAGGGATGTAGGTCTATTTGATCTCAAGCAAAAATTGTCTTTGTCTATAGTATGGTTGGAGTGATCTTAGACACACCCCCCAAACAACAACAACAGCAACAACAACAACAACAACAAAAGCCTCTGAGAATGAAGAAATTTTGCTGTGATAGTAAATGGAAACCCAGAAGTTAGAGTGAGTGAGTGTATGAGCTTGGGCCTAAAACTTTTGGAGTATTTTTATTTGGTTGTTTTTTGGTTTTTTGGTATGTGATTATTGATTAACTAAGCTTAGATTTTGAAATGATGGTTGCTAAATACTAGCCATAGCATTCATATGCTAGTTTTCATAAGTTTTTTTTTCTTTTTTTCCTTTTTCTTTTTGGTCTTTTTGAGACAGCGTCTCCCTATAGCCCCAGCTGGCCTGGAACTCACTATGTAGACCAGGCTGGCCTGGAACTCAGAGATCTGCCTGCCTCTGCCCCCCAAGCGATGGAATTAAAGGCGTGTATCACTACTCCCTGCAAATTATATTTTCTTAATTTCTTTTAAATCAGATAAGCTTTTTAGAAAGGGTGAAATGGGGCAAATGAATTAAACTTTTAAATTCTTAGCTGTGTCATTGAGGTTTTTATACAAAGTCCAAGATGAAAACTCATGATATTCCCAAGTTTGTTCCTTTGGGATTACAGAGATGTAGATGACCCTGAAAATCATATGTGTTTTAAGTTGCTCTTTTATTGCCTATATCAGTCACTCAATCACCCAGCTAGCAATCAGTCAGCCAGTTCATCCGTCTTGTTCCTTTTGCCTCTTTCTCTTAAGTCTCCTGTGATTTTACTTGAGAGAAGTGTAAGACTGTATTCACATAATGAAAGTTGGGTTCACCAAAATCTTTACAATAGAGGCATCCTGGTCTTATGTGAAAAATGTGGGATTTGGTAGCACACTAGTTAAAGTTTGAAATCCTGGCTTTCTTCCCTTGTTGTGTGTCCTTGTGCAAATTACTTGACTGCTGACCCTCAGTTTCCTTACACTGGTGTGGGGATTAGGGAGCACATTCAAAAAGCTTGCTATACAGTAAGCTCTTAAACAGTCATAGTTATGAGGTAGACTAGAAACTATTACTCTTAGGGAATTGTAGGTACAATCTTAGTGATCTCGTTTTATACCCAAACTCACAGTTCCCTTTTTAGTGGGTGTTTGGTTAAGCATTCTCTCTCTCCCTCTTGGTTCTGCTCACTGTATCCTTTGAAATTAGTGATTGGTAGCACAAAACACCTGTCCATAGGATAGAAGGTGGGCGTGCTGAGGGTTCAGTGAGCCTAGGACCATCCCTGACCTCTAAACTGCATGGGTACCCCTCCCCAACTAACACTCAAGTTGCCTGTGTGAGGAGTGATTTGTTGCGGCCTCTAACTGCTTCTTCTCTTCCTTCCTTTTTGTCATCCTGCAGTGTTCTGTGCCAAGGTCTTTGTGGCTAGGCTGCGCCAACCTGGTAGAGAGCATGTGCGCACTGAGTTGCCTGCAGAGCATGCCCAGTGTCAGATGTCTCCAGGTGCCTCTCTTCTTTCTTGTTGTAAATGTGTTTTTACGTATGCCATGAACATTTGTTGAAACTTGCAGTAGTGTGTTTAATCCAATGTTAAGTCTGCTAAATGTTCTGTGTAACCCTCTGCTTTCCTCCAGCCTGGGTGCCCACATGGAGGAGTTAGTACCAAGAGGGAGGGCCCTTCTGAGCAAGTGGGTCTTTGATTGGGCCCCTCTTGCTCCCCCTTTTCTGCTCCTGCGTTTTTATTCTTTTCTCCTCATCTTAAAGTTGTGATTCTCATGTTTAATAGTTGTGCGTGTGCCAAAAAGACCACAACAAACTGTGGTATTTCCCATTTAACTACCTTTAACAGTATTGAGTTGAGAGGGTTTCATAATTAAAATGGCGATTATTATTATTATTTTTTTCTATTTTGGAACTCACCCTTTTGTTTTGCCTTTTCTCCCTCATTCAAGAAAAAAAAAAGTGTGTGGGAGAATCACTAATATTATAAAATAAAGCCTCAGATTGAGTTTTATAGTTCAGACCACAGCTTTATGCTGCCAGTAACTGTTTGGGCCATCTTCCAAAAAAGGCCAGATCTGATACCTGTCCTCAGGGTCCACCCAGTTTTCCAGGCCGAGGCTGGCAGAGAATTCCACAGATAAAGTAATATTGGGTGGGGTGTTGCAGGGGTGGGGGTGGGGTTGCTCAGGATTAAACTGTTAGCAGGAGTGTAGCTGACCTCTTGGGATGGCTTCTGAGAAAGCCACGGCCAAAAACATTGTGGAAGCTCTATTTAGAGAGTGTTGAATTAAATGTGTCAATAGTAATATTTTTTTTATTACTGTATAGTTCAAACAGTTTGATGTATCTTTAAAATGCACAAAAAAAAAAAAAAAAAAAGTTCCTGGTGTCCTGTTGAGAATGCCCAGATTTAGGAAACGAGTTGGAGGGATATTGATGTCATGGGTAACCTCATTGTTGTCAGGCCTTCTGTTCATGTTGACAGCCTGTAAGTGGAGCTAGGGACTAGGAAGGAGGAAGTTTCCTTTATATCGGAGCTGGACATTTTATTTACTTACTGGTAAACTTTCTGAGTAGTACTGGTGTGGTTGTTGATGGAAATCGCTATCTTCAAAAAACTGCTGGAACTTATAGCACTTAACAGTTAGCTGGAGTTTAAATGCAACATATTGTCCAGTTGTTTTTAGGGTCAATGGCAGAAGATAGGTTCCAGGTCTTAGGATACAGGAGTTGAGGGTTTCAGTGACTCTGGTGTACTGTGTGATGTTTGTAAAAGCAGCTTACTCAAATGCCATGGAACTTTAGCAAGTACTGACTTTGTGTTCTTTCTTGGTGCCCTGGAATGGCCATTTGCATTTAAAAGTCTGTATCTTTGATGGTTGCATGAATATTATAGTTGATTTTTTTAGTGGGTTGACCTAGGTGTATCCAGAGCTGGAAATATAAGTAGGGGAAGAATTATCGTTATTAAGGCCATGAAATACAGATTCTTTTTTGTTGTGTTCAGTTTAAAGTAATTGACCAACAGAAGGCACCATTCAGTATGTCTTAGTAACAGTTGTCAGCTTTGTGGAGGTGTGGGTAAATGGGAGGAGGAATGGGTTCTTCCTGAAAATGTGAGAAAAAGCCTTAAAAGTTCTTTGAGTCACCTTCCTCTGAAAGTTATGTAAGAGAAAAAAATTGAAATGTTGCCTTCATTGGACCTTATTGCAGTTGAATGGGAGTAATACTGCCTTTAGAAGTGTGTAGGAATTTTGCTCTGGCTTTTACTTTCACTAGTGTGTGATTAGAGGCATGCAGCATGGAATTAAAGGCTCCGCTGATTGGAGTTAGCAAGTCATTATTTTGTTCCATGAGCAAACGAATCTGGAAGATCTTTTTTCCATTCGTTTTATGTATTATTACCATTTTAATAAAAAAGTGTATATGGAGCTTTAATACTTTTCTTTTAAAATCTAATTTGATTATTTTACTTTTTGGTTCTGGGAATTGATTGAACCCAGGCCTTATGCACGCTAGGTAAGTGCTATATTGCTTAGCTATGGCCCTCACCTTCATTTTGTTTTACGTGTGGTAACCCCAGTGTTCTTCTCACCACTACAGTCTCCAGACTGGCCTAAAGTTCAGTGTCTCATTTGGGTTTAGGCTTTCAAATGCCTGTTGCTTATGTGCTGCATCTTTGGTTCATCATAGAGCTGGCTCTCCTTGATAATGCAACACAGTCATTCAGAATCAACCCATGAAGAGGACAAAGCCTTAGTTGACTTTGTCAGGACTGTAGAGGTCCAGAATTATTGCACTGTCGTTAATAACTACAGCTTTGGCCAGTTATCCTGTCTATGTGACTAATTGATACCTTTTGAAAAGGCCAGGGTGAAGATAGCAGGGGTTTAGCATAATTTAGCTATTCCAGGTTTTTCCAACTGTGAGATGGGAAAAGAGGTAGCAGAGCTTTAAAAACCCACCACTTGTTACCTACTATATTTGTTGCTTCACATTATTAGGTTTACGACATCCCTGTCAGGTGCACGTTTAGCTGAGACAAAACTTTTATGCTGCCTGTTTCAGTTGTTTAGGGAGCTGTGAAATGCTGGAGCAGGCGTTTGAGCTCCATGGTGCCTCATTCTAAACGCTCTTCGTCTGTACTGGAGTGCCTCTTTTTCTAGTCTTAGGACTTTGTGGCAATTTTACTAGTGATATATAATGTGTGGTTTGTTTAGTTACCATTTATTTTAGAAAAAAAAAAAAGCCTGCTGATTCTAAAGAAAAAAACTGGTACCTCTTTTATCAAAATGAACGCCCCTGAATCTCAAAGCTAGGAAGGTTCCTGGGTGGATTCCTGCAAATTTAATGCCATGAGTATATACTGGGCACCTGGCATGTGCTATTAGCCTCTCCTGTGTACAGACGAGAGGCACATGTTTGCTTCCTGCTCTCAAGGAGCTCATTGTAGTAAGTAGAGCTGTGAATGAAAATCCAGACTGAAGCACATAGAGAGTGCTCTCTGATGTTAGCCAGATATCCTTTTAAATAATGTTGACCACTTTAAACTAGGCCTGACCCGCCACATGTTTTAGAACAGCTAGCCTGGAATGTCTGAGAATCTGAATCAGGCTGAGCTGAGTCAGTACCATTTTCTTCACATGTCCAGATTTGAGCAGTTGCTTTTTGTGTCAGATAATCCAAGACCACAAAGAGCATTAACTTGTCAAGACTCTGGCATGAGATTAACACTGATGCTGATGACCACACCTTTTATTTCCCACCTTCTGTGCTTTGGGACCTTGGATATCTTGTTTGATCCTAGGTGCTGAGGAATGAGTGAACCTAGGGCTTTACTGCATATGCCAGGCAAGCATTCTTCTGAGCCACACCCCCTCCCTCATGTGCTCCTTTATGGAAAAATTACCTGTGCTGATTTCCTTGTATGTGAAGTTACAGAATTGAATTGACTTGTCAGAAGTCACAGTTACTTAATTGGCAGAACTGGGTTATGAACCTAGATCTGGACAGCTGCATCAGGCTGCAGTGACAACTGGTAATTTGACAACTGTCATTTTTAGGTTGAAATTCTTAATTTTTAGTGTAAAAATGGAAAGGCTAGCACCTATGGCATGCAGAGGCTTTGTGCAGTGGATGGACAGTGTTCTCAGGGATGTGGTGTGCTCCTGGGCTGGGTAGAATCGGTGTTCATCGGGGTAGGACTGATCACTTGAAATGACAGTGAGGATCATGGGAATCAGACTTCACTGCCTTGATCCTAGCTGCCTTTGTGTATGTTGCTGGGCACTAGTGAACTCACAGTGAGCCATGGTGGTCTTGAGAATGCTGCATTTGGAATTTGGTGTGGCCACTGACCTAGATGGGACTTGTGAGGAGTGAGGTAACTTGGTAGATGAAACTGGGTTTGGAGCAGATAAACCTAGATTCTGTCCTGTTCTGACTGCTTAATGACTGATACTTTCCTTTCTAGAACCTGTTCCCTGATTGTAAAATTGAAGGTAGTTATTTATCTTGCAAAATTCTTAAGTAGAGGAAAATAATAGCTGCCTCATACTGACGGCTACTTTTGAGGGGATGAAAATCCATTTCTTTCTTTGCTGTCAGAGAATTCTTTATTCAAGAAGAGGCTTTTCAGCTTTAAGTTTCAGGGCCAGTTAAAGAGAAGCTCAAAGACCGTGCAGATGGTGTGGTCCCTGTGTTCTCCTTTTGTTCAGGGTCCGTGTCTTAGGTTGGACAGGGGCTCTTCCCCAACTGCCATTAACTCTTTTCTGCTGAGCACAGAGGATTTGTTATTTCCTCTTGATTATTGTACTCCAGGTCCAAAATATGAAGGCCTTAGATAACCTTTTAGAGTTCTCAGTGTTAGAGACTTTATAATATTTTGTGAGCATTAAATTTTTCTTTCCCTAAGAAAATTTGCAAAATACAGTAAAGGCTAGAGATGGAGCTCAGTGGTAGAACACTTGCCTAGTTTGCACAAAGTCTGGGCTCAGTTCCCAACAGCTCAAAACAGACCAGATACCTCTCCTGCCAAAGCCATTGGTGACCTCATTATCTGCCATCACTTGCTTTCCCATGCAGCCAGGCAGGTTTTGTCACTGGTGGTGGTGTTACTGTAGTGGAGGTGTTTTCACTGTCTGGAGGAGCCCAGTTTGGTTTTGGAGTCACTGGGGACATAAAAGAGGCCTTGGCATTGTGCTCCTCTTACCTCAGCACTGGTGGAACAGCTTGGTTTAGCCTTTCCATGGCAGGGCTCCTAGGAAGATTTTGTTTGGAAAAACTTTCTGCTGTGGAATGTTTAAGCACATGCAGATAAAGAGAAACGTTCAGCTTAATCTTGAGCAATTTTCAAACCTTCAACTTTGTTCTTTTTCTGAGATAATTTAAAAGTAAATCTAAAATGATGTAATTGAAAAAAAGAAAGTTTGACAAACCACTGGTTTCTGTTAGCATTTAAACATTAAAAAAAAATACAGTTTAAACAATTACAAATAGCA